ACCTGTTGAAAAAATAATAATGAATTACTTTATCACTATTAAATTTGCAATGTACAGTATAAAATCTCATGTTTGATTCTAAAAATAATTAACAACCAAATGCCAGATACTTTTAGCTGCCCTTTTCCTCATGAAGCATGAAGTGAGAAAACTAAGTATTGTAGGTGTGGTGCAGGTTTTGGCTGTAGCATAAAAGCTTCTGTTGATAACTGTACTTACAAGATGGATAATTTCTCTTGCCATAGTTGCTGGGAAGTGTAGTTTGTATGTTTATACCCATGTTAGTCCCTTGCATTTTAGAAGACATAATACAAGGGGCAATAACATTACTTCCTCCTTCGGCCTGCACAGACTGATAAAATGACACTGTAAAGACAAGTTTTAAATTCAATTACAGTATCATGCATTTACTGTACATGTGTAAATGCATATTATGCTGGACCCTGAGTGCACCAAGACACATAGTGTATTAATGAAGAGGAGGCATATAGGAGTTTGATTATTTCACTTTGTGTTATTTGTACGAACAGATTGACATAAAAAGTTGAAATATTAGTATATCTAATCAAGCAATCAAGATAAATTTGCCATTGAATTGGTTGGTTATTTATTAATTTAAAAAAACATAAAAAACTAAACAACATATTCTCATCATTACAGCTAAGATGATGTAATAACCTGTGTTTGATATGGTCCTTGATCTAGCTCTGCATATGTTCTGGCTGATTTGAAATGTGGATTCAATTAACAATTTTAGTGTCATTTATTTCAATGCACAGAGAAAGGAGTGCATTCATTAAAAAAAAACATCAGTGGCAATTATATCACATTTGTTATAATTTTTAAGCTTTCCACTGGCAGCCCTGTAAGAAGAATGTCATGTCATGCTCACAGACACAATTAACAGTTATATGTGTGTTATCAGATAGCACAATTCTATTTAAATTCGGATAAAATAAATAATACACAAGTCTATACCATCAATTCATAGAATTGTTTTAGGAAATTAAGTTACATGAGTTTCGGAGTACAAAAGTACAAAAAAGAGTACTAAAAAGTCCGATTTATTAAAAGTAAAACAAATAAGATATGCACAGTTAGTGTTATCTCCGTAAATAGCATGGAATCTGTTAGTTACAGTCAATGCGATTGTATGAAATTCATTGTACATTGGAAACGATCTGCGAAAATTAAATATGGTTGAAGTTTAGCAGCGTGCAATTTTGAAACAGATCAATATTTAACACAAAGATAGGTACCTGATCGTGGTTCCTCCGCCTTGCGTTCCCATTCTTTTAATTGAGGATAGGTTGCTTTCACATTGTCTTTTTTGAGGATATCTAAAAATTGATGACATAATTCCTCCGTTTTGCCCATAATAAGGTCAAGAAGATCAATCACTTTTTGCTCTGGTCTTGATAGATGCTTTAGTTCATTGTACTCTCGGTCGGTTAGGATACTTTTACTATGTGCGTGCTGCAAAATGTAGTCAGGCTGTGCACTAAGCCAATCAATAAGGTCTACTTTGTTTCTTTTAATAACGTTCATTATTGCTTTGTAAACCTGCAAAGGCAAAAGAGCATGATATAATTCAAAACCGAAAAAAACATGTGTTTCTGTGTGTTTTCAGAAATATCAGTTTGGTCATTCAATGAAATAACGATTCAGTCATTAGTAATTACACGTTCAATAATAAAGTTCACTACTGTAAAATTTCAAAATACTTTTTCCACAAACTGGCAAATAAGTATGTGATATTTCAATTGTATAAAGTAACACGCTTTGCACTACGTTTGAAACAGCCATTTCCTGTCACAGAAGAGATGTTTCTAGTGTGGTACAACAATTTAAGAAATAAAGAGCGTAATTGGGTTATGGGATTCTTCAAAAATTTAAATATCTTTTCCACCTAATTTTGATTTTTTTAAATCGTTGATTTAATAAAAACAAATAAAAACGATTACCGGATTTGATTCAGTTTCACTTCCTTTCTTAACTCGCTGTTGCTTAAGTTATTGCGATTTTACAATCGTGAGGTCTTTGGGCGGAGACTGAAATGCGTGATCTAAACACGTTTACTGACTTTTGGTCTTATATGGTTTTGAGCCGTATTACATATTAGCAAACTATGCATCTTATTAACTGTATTGCAGACAACGGAAATGTAATATAGTATCTAAGACAGCAATTACAAGAAAAAATACACCAAAATATCTACAAAATGGTTCTTTATGGTGTTACTGTACACTTCATGTATTAATCTACACGTAAGGAGTTAGGTGTCACAGGGATAAATGCTCTATTAATATGGAGAGATATTAGTGACGTATTCAAGCACAAGGTTTACAGGTTTATCTGTGCAAGTAAGCTGGTGGTTTCACTCTCTATAAAGGTCTTGATTTAAGACCCATCAATTAAGGTTAGTCCAGGCTGAAGTCCAAGGTGCACCTCTGTCTGAGCTGTAAAACGTTAAGTATGATCAAAATGTTATATTGATATTTTCAAAGTCATTTACAAAAAGATTTGAATCAAACAGCAGCAACCAGATTATATCATACAAGCCTGTCAAAAAGGAAGAGAATCTTAATTATCATTTAACTTTAACAATTGCTTAAGGAGTGAAATACACATACTTTACATGCATACCAGTATATTATAGTAATTACCTTTTTTGAAACTCTCAGTGGAGGCACAAGTGACTGAAGCACTTGGAAAATACCTAAACCTTCAAGTATTTCCCTCTTCGACGTTTGCACATGTTTGTATTACCTACATCTTCAGAAATTAGTTTTTATTCTTCATAATGATGCACGCTTGTATTCAAATTATACTTTAATGAAGTTATCCAGCAAAGCATCGGGACTTGGGGGTTCTAATTTACTGCAGAAAAATGAAAAACTGGTCTTTTATAAGTAATATGCAAAATACATTTATGCGGCACAACATAAATGTTGTGTCTTTTAAATCTAAATGCAAAATAAGCCAAGTATGCTCCTCTGTCATTTATAACCTATAGCAGTAGCACTTCAACAACTTCTCTTTGTACTTTAGGCTACAGCCACTAAAATAAAAAGATAAATTACCAAATTTTGGCAAGAAATTTTATTTATAGTAAAGTTTCAAACAATACACAAAAAGGCAGACCATGAGATTTTTGGTAAAAAACACTGAACATAAAGAAAATCTAACTTCCTTCTCATGAAACTCTGGTGAATACACATGATAGACATGCATTCATGCACCCTCAAATACAACATTTCTCACTTTGTGGAAATTCATTAGAGACAAATGTAGCTATTTAAATACATAAATATGCTAGTTTCCCCCTTAAGATGCTTAATTTTAAATATATAATTAATAATTCCTAGAATGTACAAAAGGACTTCTCAGATTAAGACAGATTTGATTCATAGGCAGTGCTTTACTTTCAAAGACTATACATTTTCTGAATCTCCCTTTTAAATTGCTAAACTGACTAATAACGCATAACAGATTATGCTTGTGTGAAAGACATGAACAATATTCTAAAAATGTAATTGGCAAAAAGATTTGAAAAAATATGTTTTTAAACCCCTCTGTTTAAAAGAATGTTCAGAAGGGTTATGCTGCAGGTAAATGGTACAGTATTTGATTTTTATCAGAATTTTGAGATATACAGTATGCATTTACCCATTTGTCTTTGAACCTGTTTCTCCTTTTTACTAAGTGGAAATATGACAAGTAATACCTAAGAAGTACAAAGGCTGTATTTGAACCATATTTTTTACAATATAGTTTGATCCAGTTTTTATCTTAACTATTAGGAAAATAATTAATTTTGTAGATTATTCCAAAGTGGAACAGGGTGAACATTAATCCCACAAACATCACAAACATATTACAATTTGAATAAGTGTAGAGGAAAGATAGAAAGTAAAAGTCAAATTTTAATCAAAGAGAAAAAAAATATCTAAACAATCTCAACAATTAACAGCATTTGGGTAATAGCTAGGTCCGCATAAAATTAACAAAATCTTCCAAATTATGTGAAGGTAAATTTTCAAAACAGTGAAAATATTTTGCTTAGTAAACTCCTTTTGCTAGAAAATAAGTTTACTTTTATAGTGCATATTATAATTTGGTTCTTTTACATAATTTTGTACGTTCCATGATTTTATAGTATTTTATTGGTGTGACAATTGTATGTAATACAATTATATATATATGTGTATGTATCTGTGTAATTTTAAAACTTTGGGCAAACTGACTGTATTATACCTCCATTTCTTTTTCTTTCTATTCAACTGTAGTATTATTTTACAAAACCAGACAGTAAAAGGAC